AGGTTTTGAGTACGGGGTTAATACACATGCAGAAAGCACTGTTGGCAAGAGCAATGGGCACGGTGTTAGGGCACAAGGATGCTAGGTCCAGCAGTGCCACTAAGTGTAGTGCTATCACTTTGAGCAAGCCCATGATTCCACTGGGGGTCTGTTGCCTGTTGTCCAAGGCCCCTTCCAAATTCTACGTTGCAAAGATGAAGACCTGGAAAAGGAGGCTGTGACAGCTTGGTGACTACCTGGGTAATGAGGAACCTGATAGAAGGGGATACCAGAGAAGATTCCAGGGCTCTAGCAAGGATGGGTAAGTAGAGAAGACGAGCAGGTTTGGAGAAATGAAAGATGACCTTAGTTTGGATATACAGGCATACCTTGTTTTATTGGGCTTCACAGGTGCTGCATTTTTACAAATTAAAAATTATACAAATTTTTACAAATTCACTTTCTCCACCAGCAAAAAGATCACGGCTCTCATTATTGCGATACTCACTTTATTGCGCAGTCTGGAACGGAACCTGCAGTATCTCTGCAGTATGCCTGTACTGAGTTTAAGGTGGTAACACATCTCAATGGAAATAAATGTCCAGGAGATGGTTAGAAATGTGGGTCTTGATTCTGGGAACCATTTGTAGAGCAATAATTGAAAAACATGATAACAGATGCCACCAAATCTTCAATGTCACTCTGAGGTCCTATGGCCCAGAACATGATCCTGATGGCGGAAAGCAATGTTGGTGAAAGGAAGCACTGGAACCAACAGAGATGGAAATTTGTGGCTGCCCCGCAGAGGTGTAGGGATCGGTACACAGGGAGATTTGAAGGAAATGGTTCTAGGAGACCCTGATTTCAAAGTGGCTGTCAGTGGAAGGCTGCGGCTTTGTCCCTGGTCTCCGCATCAGTTCTTGGCCCTGGCCCTGGCAGGAAGCCAACCCACTTCCTCTCTTGGTGGCCCTGGCTACTACTATAGGGTTTTTTTTTCTCTGCTCTTCCCCCTTTTCTCTCCCTTCACGGGGCCTTTGGCAACCTGAAAAGTCATCCCAGTCATCTTGTCACTGCCCAGTTGTCACCCATTCCTTCGCCTGCCCCCTTAAGTTTAAAAATTGGTTGTATTTTAAGTACCTCAAGTAAAAATGTCTTTGAAATACAATTGCAGTAGGTTGCATTTCATTTAGTCCTGCAATTAGGAGCCAAGACCTGGAGACTGACATGAATGTCTGTGAGATCTCAGATAAATTCATGGCTCTGGGTTCCCTGGGGAGGCCTGAGGTGTTGGGCAAGCAGGCTGCAATGGAGACTAAGCTTAGGGAGAATGCAGTGGTGGCTGCGGTGGTGGTGATTGGCAGATAGCCACACATTTCTAAAGCAATTGGCAAGAGAATTCCTGAGATCAAAAAAGGCTAAGTCCTGGGGCACTAAGACAATATCTATTTTTTAACCTCTCCAAGATGCGGGATTTCCAAGTTAGTCCCAATGGGAAATCTTGGCTATACTAGGCAAACTAACTCATTCAGTCAACCATCACTGGCTGAGGAACGAACTCATGTCCCAGGGCCAGGACAGCCAGGGGGCACTAGCAGTAGAACATTTTATGTCTAACACTGTCAGAGGACTGAATATTGGGAGGGAAAAATACGAATTGGGCCTTGGGTCATGTAAACCCAGATAGGGACTCGAGCTTGTGGGGGGACTCACGAGCAAAAATCCACTCATCCTCAATTGTATACATTTCCTTTTCCTTCCAACTCTTCCTACAAGTACAATACTTTAGGTGCCAACCTCCCTGGACTCAGGGTCCAGTCCCCTTTTTCTAGGTCTTGTTGGTTTTTTACTCCTGAGTCTTATCCTTCATATTTTTTCCTTGAAAATATCATACGAATCACCAGGACTATGTTTCACATACCTGTCCCACTCCAGATCCTCTCCCTCCTCTCATTCCTCCCAGGGTGAGGCTTTGCCTGTGTCATTTCCCATATTCTTCCCTCCAACCTTTTTTCGAGCTTTATTAATTCTTAGTTGAGTCTAGTTTTGTCCTGGAGACCATTTTTTAGTTTCAGTTCTTCAGGCACTAGGCCAAATGACCCATTCAGCGCTGATAAAGTCTCGCTGACCTAGGCACAGGAAATTCTGGGAAGTGGAGGATATTTCTAGATGGTTCCAAAACAAATCCTTTTCTTTTTGTCTCTGGCCCAGGACAACCTACTGACTCCACAATCTGACATGGAGTATGGAGGAAAGAGGATCAAGTGACACTGTCTCTAACATGCAGAACCTTGATAGTATCAATTTCCTTCTGGGCCTCAGTTTCCTTCTTAAAAAAAATGATCTTGAAGGCACTCATCAGCTCTGACAGTTTAGGATACTTGGCATCTGGCTCAGCTGGTCTCAGGACAGCCTTGGAAATCTGAAGCACCTCATGCCATTTGCAGTCTAGAAAGTCTGCTTTCTAGGTTCTAGTTCTGGAGATCTAGTTCTGTTCCAACAGATCTTAGTGTCTGTTTGGACTTGGATCGGCTTCAAATGTCTAGGAGACACAAAGCTAAATGTGTATAATCCCTTCAGACCTAGACCCACCTTCTCCCAGAGCAGAGCTGGGAACACACTGCTCACTGAGGGATACATGAGGGAGTTCACATCTGGGGTTTCACTGTTCCATGGAGGGGATATAGGCTTGGGATTCTAAATAGTAAATACTTCTGGGAAATACTTGCCGGGGGCTAAGGGTGAGTGGGGGAAGCCAGGGGAACTACAGACTACTAAAGGCAGAGACTGAGCTTAGGAGTGACTGGGCTGGAGCACGGAGGACAAACTGCTGATGGTCTCAGGCCAGGGAAGGCCACTCTAGGCTAGTGCACCCCAGTTCACTCTGCACACACGCAGCAAGTTGGTCCCCTGACCCAGCTGTTCCAGCCCCATAGAAGCTCCTGTAGTTTTCTTTGGCTCAGAGAAGCAGAGGCGTCCCCTGAGCCCTGGCCCCCCTCTACCGCAAAGCAACTGGCTTCCATTACCCCTGACAGCTCCAGAGCAACAGCCCAACCCAGCCAGCCCCCGGCCCCAGCCCTGGCTCAGTGCCGTTCCCTTTTATGGAGAAGCTGAGGGAAAGCAAGGCGTGAGGGGGGAGTACTTTCTGGCCGGGCAGAGGGTTGTAAAGCCCGAGTGCCTCTCCCCTCACCAGAGACCCTCGGACATCTACCCATAGTCATCTTTCTTCTCTCATCCACAACCCACTCTGCTCCGAACCCACCACCCCTCTTGCTTGTTCCAGACCTTCCTCTCCTCCCCCCTCCTTCACATCCGGGGGGTGATTTCCCACTTGGCCGAAGTCCCACGGTTTGGGTTTAGATTCCGGGAGGGTCCGCCCTATTTCCGACGCCCACCTCCGGGGGTGGGGTGGCAGGAGGGAGCTCGAGTAAGGGAGGCACGGGTCAGATCACAGGCCGGATCGTTCAACTTGGCGTTCGTGGGGCAGAAAGGTTGGCGCCAAGGAGAGGCGCACCCGGTCGTCCCAGCTGTGTCTCCATTCTACACCGCCTCTCATCCCTTTCCCCGACGCCCAGGCCAGGGAGGGGACCCTGAGGGCAGGGCCCAAAGGAAGCACCTGGCTTGGCTGGGTCGGGCCGGGAAGCGAAGGGTGGGCAGCAGCGCGGGGGGCCGGGGCAGGAAGAGGGGGTCAGGCTGAGCCTCCTGCCCGTCTCTGCCGTCGCACCCTCACCCTAGCGCACTCCTTGGCTCCGGGAAGGCGGTGACGGCGAAGCTAACCGCATCCCCCGCCGCGCCAGCTGTGAGCAGCTGCGCCGTGCGAGCCCCAGGCACGCTCGCTCCGCAGCCCCGCCCGAGGCCCCGCCCCTTGCGGGCGTGCAGCGGGGAGCAGGCGAGACAGCGGTGCTAGAGAGCCCGATCCGGCCAAGCCGCACGGCCGGAAGTGCCTGGATTGGGACAGAGCTGGCGCTACAAACTTCCGGTCCAACTCTCCTACCTCGAGCTAGTGCGCAGAGCGCGTCGGAGCCGAGCCCAGTTGATCAGGTGAGAAGCACGCAGGCGCTGTCCACGGCCCATCTGGCGGTGGCTGGACCAGGAGGGCGAGGACGGGTCCCAGTCTGGGCGAGGGGTGTGCCGGCCCGAGGCTTAATCCCTCCTCTTCTCCGCAGGATGATCACAGACGTGCAGCTCGCCATCTTCGCCAACATGCTGGGCGTGTCGCTCTTCCTGCTTGTCGTTCTCTATCACTACGTGGCCGTCAATAATCCCAAGAAGCAGGAATGAAAAGTGGCGCTTTCTCAGCCCCAGGTAACGGTCCGGGGCTGTAGCGCCCAGCCCCCGGAGAGTGGAGTGGCGAGGCCGCGCCAGGGCCTGCAGGGTTGGAAACTTCAAATCAGAAACTGTCGGGCCAAGCATGACACAGTCCAGAACTGGGGCCTTTTATCCGCACAGAGAAAGGAGTGCCTGTCAGCTCCCTGCCTCTCCCCCTTAAACTGCACCTGCTAGAATGGGGATGGGTTTCCTAATCCCCGTCAGTCCGCAACTTCATGTGGTCCCCGGATGCCCAGGTTGGGGGTACGGAGGCACTGACACCGGTAGGAATAAATGCCATCCACGTATGAGGGTTTGGGCTGCTCACACTTTTCCAAAGTCGTTTAGGCTTTCTTTACGCAGTTTTTTTGTGAGGGGCTGTAAAGAAACAATTTTATTTCCATGTTCTGGGGTAAAGGGCACTGATTTAGGGGTTGGCTACTGTGTGTGTGTGGGGGGGGGACGGGACGGTGAAGGGCCTGGAAACCAACCTTAAGAGTGGGTTAGAAATGGAAAGGGGGAGAGGCTGGATGGGAGTTGATTCCTGAAGGACTTGCCCAGAGGAAAGCTGCAGCATTTTCCTTACCTCAGGTCTTTCCCCCTCTTTTCTAGGGTTCCAGGACATAGTCTGAGGCAAGATGGAGGGTGTGAGGGGCCTTCACACTTCACTTCATCCCTTCTACCCATCACAACATACAAAGCAACTACACCTAGATTTTTTTCAAACAACTTTTATTTCCTCAAAGTCTTCCTTAGCCCTATGGAACAAGAAGCTGCCACTGAGTAGGACCCAGTATAGGGGCTGCTTTCTTTTCTACTCCCTCCCCCCCAATATAAAAATATAGATTTTTTTTTTCCTGTGGTCCCAAATCTTGTGCTGTGGCGGGAGGGAAGGGGTGGCACATTTCTGCGTTGTCCTGTTTCAAGGTAATGCTCTGCAATGCCTCAGAACAGTGTGGCTGGCATTCCACGGAGTCATGGTTGTCACATGGAATCAGCAGCTGAGGGAGGGGACTAGCACAGTTCCCACTGTGTTCTCCATCTTGTGGCTATATCCTGGGCATGAAGGTCTCAAGGCATCAGACCCGAGGAGAAACAGTGAGTGGGGGAGATTTAGGGACAAAACAAACCTCAGGTTGGCCCAAGGGCCCCCCGCTATAACAAGTCCGGGACTGGGAGTCAGATAGACTACAGGAAATAGAAAAGGCAGGGGCAGAGTGGGGCCGTGGGGGACCGGCCTGAGGCAGCCTGCAACAGAGAAGAGAGAGGAATCAGGGGTGTAAAAACTCTGCCCCTCTTCTGGTCTGTTAGCCAGGGGTTGGGAGATGAGAGAGGTGAATGGATAAGGCTGAGTACTGCACAGTGGTCTGATGCTGGAACCAGCCAGCCCCTAGGCCTTGCACCCTAATTAGAAGTTGTTTTCGTGTCCATTGGAGTGAAGACTGAGGCCATGATGGGGAAAAAAATCGGACTAGATTCTTAAGGAAAGTACATTTAGTCTTTTGGGGGTCAAAGGGAGTAGGGAAGGAAGAAAATGATCCTGAATGGCAGAAATGGGAATGAGGGGATAGAAATGAGATGGGGCGAGGGACTGGACCCCGGTGCTTACCCTGGTGTTGAGCGGGGTCCCGGCTCCGGCTCACTGCTCTCCCTGGTCCGAGGGGTAGGGAATGTGGGGCCCGAAGAGCCTCTCATCCCTCTGCGAGTCGGCGGTGAGTCCCGGCCCAACCTGGGCCTAGCCTGTGAGGACAAGAGATGCGCTAAGAGGCTGGATTCTTCCAACTTTTTTGCTTCTGGAGTTTCCATGAATAAGTGTAGTTTAGTGTTCAACATAGGTACTGGGACCTTGAATTCCTGGGCACTGTCCCTAGCTGAGCGGGTAAGGCAGGATAATAGCTAGAGAACTCTTGGGTTCAATTTATGACTATACACTCCAGGTCTTATTTAACTAGGGGAGGCAAAAGAATCTAGCATTTAACCTTCGTGGCTATTCCATGGTCAAGATTTGGCTGAATGGAGAAGTATGGTATAGAAAGATGTTCGAGGATTGGTGGAGCTTCCTCAGCTTTCTATGCCTCAGCTCCTGCCAGAGCGGCTTACACTTCACCCATCCAGTCAGCTGCCTATACCCAACTTTAGCCAACCTAGCATGGGGATCTGGACTGAATTAGAGTTGGTGGTACAGCTGTTCCTAAGAGCAGCAACTAGATGTATTACCTGGGGAATCCGGGACCCCTCCTGGCTGGAACTCTCCTCGGGCAGGTCTGGGCAGAAAGAGAGGAGAAGCTAAGGGCAGGGGCAGGCAAAGCCAAAGCTAGCAGGCTGAGAGGCTGGGGCATATCTGGCAGGGTCATGGGTTGGAAGCAAGCAAGAGACCTGGCTGAACGGGATGGAGACATTTGACAGACAGGCACTCAGACACCAGAGCAGCTCTGTGACATGGGTGCGGGGAGAGGTTGTAAAGCAGTGCTAGGCATCTTCCCTCCCATTACCCAGATGAACAGTGCCTTGCTGGGCTCTGCCAGAGTTGTTACGCTGGGGACTGGGGAAGACCCCAACGTGTTACCTGCAGTCGGGTCCTGATACAGGGGATCCGAGGTCCAGTCCCTAGTAGACCTTTCCCAATCACCATGACAGCCTCTGGCTTGTCTCCTGAGGACAGGAATGAGCAGCTGCTCCCTAGGGAACAAAGGAAACTGATAATTGGGAAGGGCCATGGAGAAGAAGTGGTAACTTCTTTTAGATCAAGGTTTCTCAATATTGTCAATATTGCCATTTTGAGCTGGATATTTCTTTGTTGTTAGGGGCTGTCTTGTGCCATTGTAGGATGTTGAGCAGCATCCCTGGCCTCTACCGACTAGATGGCATTTCTTTCCCTGTCCCTTCCCCATTTGTAACCACCAAAAATGTTTCCAAACATTGCCAAATGTCCAGGGGTCGTGGGGTTTCCCCTGGTTAAGAAGCTTGGCATGTTCTAGCCTGGCCCAACGGGTGGAGCAGCAAGCTGGGGCTTCGATCGGAACACACTCAAGCTGAAATACTCTTAAATTATAGACCTTAGAGGCTGTTCCAGTCAAATGTGTAAGCATTTAAGGATCAAGTCAGCAGCACCCAAGACACGTGGACTGAGGGCTACCCAGTGAAGAGAGTTATCAGGTTAGGAGTAACGGGCTCTGAGGGAGGCAGAAGATGCTGCACTTCTTAGAAATCGTTCCCATCCAGTCCTTTACACAGCTGGGTCTGGACTTAAAAGGAGAGCAGAAGGCCAAGGTCTTAGGTGAATGATATGGTCACACATTTGTGGTGATGACAGGTAAAAGACCTATGCTTTTTTTCATTCTTCGATTTTGTCTAACGTTGCCCAGCTCCGAGAGCCAGGAAGCTTGACTAAGTAGCAGGTAGAAAAGTCCTCAGGTTCCTCAACTATAAAAATGAGGATTAAATGAGATAATGTGCTTCGAGCATTGCCTGCCACATAGTAAATGCTCAGTAAATGGTAACTATTTTATTATATAAAGACGTTCATTAAATTCCATCTTCATGTACAAGGGCATGGGTGTTCAGGATAATCCAGGAGGATAACCGATGCCCCTGGTCTGGAGTGGCCTGTATCCTATGAAGTCAACAAGGAGGTCCCGGTCAGCTGGCAACGGAGCTGAAGGGATTTCTTCAGGCCTAGTCAGGAGCCTGGTCTACACCCTGTGTGGTAAGAAAGGAAGGAGGCTAGCGAGCCCAAATTTCAGCTGCAGTGGGTACAGACCTGATATACTGAGTGAGTTGGGCAGTAGGCAGGGGCCCATGTTGCGTGAGGAGGCTGGGCTAGAACGGGCAGGAGTTGGGGATGGGGCCAGGCTGCTTGAAGTAGGGCGATAGGTCAGTGGCTGCTGCCGCCGTCTCCTGTCCTGGCCTCGGGGCTCTGAGTGGGAGGGACATGAGCAGATAAAAGGGCAAATAAGTGAGGTACTGTCACTCCATTGTCCTGCTGGCCCTCGGTCAGAAGATGCCTGTTTTCAAGCCTGTTATCACACCAGCATCCCTTTTCTGAAGTAAATCTAAGACAAGTAGAAAGACCTCTAATATTTATTCCAGTTATCCAGTGCTCAGCCACCCCTCATCCTGCTCACCTCTCTGTGGCTAACCAACCTACTCACCCACCAGTTCATCCTTGTGGCAGAGTTATTGAGCTTGGCTTCCTAAACAGCTTTCCTAGGTTCTCTTACCTCTCACTGCTCCACTTCAGCTACTCTTCTTGCCCCTTAACTGACAGTGTCCCCCTCACCAGTCTATCCTTGGTCCTCTCCTGCTCAACATACTTTAAACCCCCAAATCTCCCTCTAGCCCTTTCTCCTGAACAACAGTTCTAATAGTCCATTGGACATTTTTGACGGGCAGTCTTATGACCCAAACAAAATTCATTTTCTCCCACCCTTCCTTTGTTCTCCCTATATTGGTGAAGAATCTGCTAGAAACCTTGTTTCATCTTTCAGTTCCTCACTCACATTTAGATTCATGTTTAACCAAACCTGGACAGTTCTACCTCTGCCTTCACGTGAGTTCCTCCTTTATTCTCCCTTGCCATCACCAGTGTCCAGGTACAGGTCATTAGCTCTCATTCAGGCTTTTGAAAAAAATTCCCCACTGGTCTCTTTTTTTTACAATCCATCCTTTACACAGGTGCCAGAAATTGTTATTCTAAAATACAGACCTGATCAAAAATCACTTTGGCTCAGGCTAGGGGGAGATACTGAAGGTCTTTTAAAGGTCAAGTCTAAACTTTTTCATATGGCATTCACAGCCCTGCCCACTGTGGTTCCAGTCTTCACATCCTCAGTAGGATGCTGACTCGATCCTTCACACCCTGTGCTACAACCCCTGTGGCTACTAGCTGTGTGGTTCCTCTGCAAGGTCATTTCCTAGTGAAACTTTGGATATCTTACATCTCCCATCTCAAATGTCACTTCTGTGAAGCCTCCTTGACTATTTCAGGTAGAATTAATTGTTCTCTCTTTATTGTCATTTGCTCACTTGGTTAGTAATTGTTTATGGTTTCTCCTTAATTAAATCAGTTTGTACATGTTAAAGGACTTGAAATAGTGTCTGGCACATAGTAAGTACTCAATAAATGTTTGCTGATATTCTAATTACACTTGAGTCTCTTGAGGGTAGAGACCTTCTCTAATACTACATATCTCAGTGCCTGTAAAATACTGTCCAGAAAACAGAGACCTTAATAAGCATTTTGTTTACCTGAAGAGCAGGCACCCACTACAGAACATGAGCTGGCTCAGTAATCTCTTGGCTAAGGGCATATGGTTATACCCTATGGGGCAGCTCTCGGGTCCATTCCTTGTGGCTAGAGCCTCACTGTTATAAGTTCTGAAAGGTGGGGGCCCAGTGGCATAAACAGTGACTGGGTGGGGGAGGGAGGCTTTCAGGTTTGGCAGGGACTTATCACAGAGGGACAGCAGGTGCCAAATGCTCTCAAACTGCATGAGCTATTAACCTCCAATGGAGCTGAATTCGATGGGGGTTCCAGGGTGTCAGGTGACACCTGACAAAGCAACATACGGTAGATGTGAAAAGCCTTCAGCTTAGGAAAGAGGTGACAGTAACTTCATCTTGTCTAGCTACACTGAACAGAAGCTGGCAGTAACAAGGCTACTTCTAGAAGGTCCCAAACCAAATTTTAAAAAGTTGATACTTTCATGAATAAGGACTAGAAAGGGAGAGATCTCAGGATGGAAGGTACTCTATAGCTTTGAGGAGTTTGCTGAGATGCTGGGTACCAATGCTGAGTCTAAGACCACAGCCAAGAGTAAAAAACAACCAGATCTTAGGGGGCTAGTAAAAGCCGATACAGCGGTGCCAACAAGACAACAGATGTCAGAGATGCGAGGCCACAGTCAAATAACCTGAAACGTTACCCACCACCAATGACTTAGTGATACTGGAGAATGCAAACCTGGGTAATTCTTTGGTTAAAACAGGGATGTCACTATCATGTCCAAGTGACAGTGCAGTAGGCATAATGAGCTTGATAGAGGGGGAAATAGCAGGTTTCTAGGCGGTCTGAGAAATCTCCATACACAGGAGTATGCTGAAACCACGTTAAGGGATGAAGCCTCACCCACCCCCAAAAAGGATGAGAGAGCAAGCAAGAAAGCAGGCAAAAGATGTTGGGATGCTTTAGGTTCTAGTAAGAAACTGCATGACACTCAAGAAGGTATAAAGCAAAACAAGCAAATGGTGTTAAAAAAAAAAAAAGCCAGTGTGAAATGGAGGGATTGTGGGAAAGGTATTAAGGATACAACTCAGGAATCCTGCCCCTGAAGAGTTTCAGGAGAGAAGACAAGGCCTGGTTTAGGGGACAAGTCTGATCTGGAAAGTGTAAGGCTTTTAAAGATAGCATTTCAATCATTACTCAAAAGACTACCCTAAGATCTGGCCAGGCCTGCCTATAAATTTGGCAATGAGCACACAGCTGTTTCTCATGTTTTGGCTTTTGGCCCCCAGTATAATCCAGGTCTGCACAGTCCCCACTGAGACAAAAATTAAAGGGAGGAGCCCCACTCGATTATTTCTTCGTTCTGAGCTATAGGAACAGCGGCTTAAGACTGAGTGCAAGAGTGGTATGTGATCAGCTCGGCCTCCAGAGGTGGTGAGATGATGTTTTATGGTAATGGGCTGTATGTTCCTTCCATTTTGGGAGCGGTAGAATAGTCCTTGGGCAAGTCTGAGAGGCAGAGCCAGGCTGACCTCACCATTGTATGAATTAGAACGGATATTCTAAGTCCTCACAATTTAGAGCAGTTATGTGACTTGTGCCTTGGTCCTGCAGCATCCCCCAAAACAACTTTGGAACTGTCCCTACATGTAGCACCCCAGATCTTACTCAATCCCCGGGACAACTGCAGATCTGATGCCCTCTGAGGGGTGGAAAGATGAGATAGGCATTCATGCAGTTCCCAACTTCTTGCCTTTTATTTGTTTAGCAAATATTTGCTGATCATTTAATAAGTGCTGGGCATGGTGCTAGGTGATAAATAGATGTGTTAGGAGATATTTCCTGCCATCAAATAAGTTTTAATCTGCTATTTAACATGTAACTTGTTTGCAGTAAACGTGGTGATGGTGCTGGAGGACTCTTCCTGTGTCCTTTGACTCACTTCCCAAAGGAACCTCCTCCACTCACCACTGGCCTTTAGCTACTCTACCAAAAGCTGCCTGTCAGCTGAGCCAAGGCATCGCACAGGCCAGGAAAGGGTTCTAGTAAACCTCAGGGTTAACTGCCAGAGTTGGGAGGGATGAGTGGCGGTGGTAGGATGACAGCTGAAGACTTGACACTTAAGTCCCTTGTCTTTTACCCCAGTGTCCTGGACACTGGGTAGTCTGCAGGGCCAGGGCATATGTTTCAGTTATTGAGTGAGACTGTTGCTTGAATCCAGGGCCAGGACTAGGATGAAGCGAGTGAGGCATCTAAGGTGTACAATGTAGGGAGGCCCTTGCCTTCTTAAATTGTGTGTCCTGGGCACCTCACTGGCCTCTCCCGCAGTCCTTGCCGTTTTCAATACATAACCGATAGGAGAAGCTGGTTTACCTCTCCGCCTTCTCCCCAGCAGGCCCTCCTTTGAGCTCCGTTTGCATCTGCCCTTGCACCAGTTACCTCACAGACTTGCCTTGCCTCATTATATTAGCTATTCCCAGCTGATCTCTCCCTTCTCTGCAGCAGCAGCAGTAGCTGCTGATATTGCTGTCTGCGCTTCTGAGCCAGTAGGCAGGAACTAGACCACGGACTTGGGAAGGTGGTGCCACATTTTGTAGCAGGGGAGGAGGTGAAGATCCTGACTATGGTTAGGGGCTGCTGGGAGTCAAGGCTTACTTAGAGGCTCCTCCAGCCTCCTGCCCTAGGAACATTCCTGTTCACCCCAAGTTGGCTACTTGTTGGCCTTCTAAAATGTCATCCCCCAGCATCTGAGGACAGAACCTGTCAGACTAGTTCCCTGAACCTCTGCCTCAAGCTTCTGACTAGGCTGCCTAGATCTTTTCTGAAATTTTCTGGATAGCCTAAACTCATATTTTGTTCTAGCCAATAAAGCAGAGTCACTAAATAAATGTATACTTAAATGTGATATAATTTTTATACATTAGTGGAAATTTTCTTATAAATAAGTTCACAAGTAAAAAAAAAAATCCTTTGTCAAATCACAATCCCAGTTTCGGGTTTGGAAAGTATAGCTGCTTTCTAATTAGACATCAGAGGTACGGAGTCATGTCCTTCCTGTCTTGGAAGACCAAGTATGTCTAGAGGTGGCAGGGGCCAAAGAGCCAGATGTGTGGAAAAGGAAATGTCACAAAGCCACAGCAGACAGCTCACACTGGACAGAGAAGTTATTCCAAGGGTTGAAAACACCAAGTCCGGACACCACAGTTTGTATCACGGGTCCTGGTTCCAAGATAGAGCCAGTCTCCCATCCTGGTGTCCTATCAGGCATGTTAAGAGGCAAAGCAGCAAAAACTGCAGCAAGTGCCCAGGAGAACATAGGAGGCAAGACTCCCAGGATCTGCCCTTTCCGCTCCTCACAGTATTCCTGTTTGGTATTATTAGTAAACCTTTTCTTGACCCCCTGACCTTAGAGACATAGTTTCTTAGCTCTTATAAATATTTATTCAAGTTCCTGGGTGTCTCTGTACTCAAACCAGCTCTTTTTTTCTGCTTCTAAGCTCATTCACCTGGGGAAACATAGCTTCTCATTTGGTTTTACCTGCACCTGTATGTAGATGACTCCTAGATCCAACCCCAATGTTATCTTTTCTACAGTTTGACCCTTTTTCTGCCTGCAGAACATCTCCATATAGATAGCATGACATCCAAGCATGTCTAAACTAGATAAACGCATCACTTTGTCATCCAACAGTGTCTTAATGTCATCATGACTTCTTCAGCTTGTAGCCTTGAAGCTCTCTTAGTTTGTCTCTCTTCCACCATCACTGAGTCCTGCCACTTCTATTTATGTGTATTCATCTCTCCTTTCCAGACCCTGGTACAGGCGCTAGTCTTCTCATGTATAAACTACTCCAAAGATTGCCCCTCCCTTCTCTGCCTGATACATACAGTTCACAGACAGCTCTCTTACCTAAGTCTTTGGTTCCCATCATTCTCAGAAGCACACAATCATTGCCATATGTCTCATTAACTCATGATCTTTGTTTTCAAAACATTTCAACTTCTTCCTCCCACCTCTCTTCACCTGACTTGTGTGGTGAAGGGCTTGCCCCTCTGAGCCTGCTAGTACACTTGATTTTTGTCCTCTCTATGCAGCAGCTCTGGTTCTGGCCATCATTCTCAAATCTGGAATGTTTTTGTCAAACCATATACCACCACTCATTCTTCAAAACAGTTTCTCAACTGAACATTCTTTGGATAATTTAACTCCTGTTTATCTGACAGTGGCTCCCAGGTCCCTGTATGTTTACAGTGTGTGTGTGTGTGTGTGTTTATGTCGTGTTTACTGTCCTGTGTCTCCTACTAGACATTACTTTGTACTGACCATGCCTATTTCCTATTAGTTATTTGGGGAAGTAATGAAGAAACAATTCATGTCCCTCACTCAAGGAGCTCGATACAGCACTCTGCATTTGGAGGGAAGAACTGCTTAGAATCCTCCAGTGAGGACCTAGAAAAGGCTCTTTTCTATTTCCTTTTTGTGTAGACAGGGAAGAATTTATGATGCTGCTATTGCTTCCCAGGAACTATGAGTTAAGAGGAAAAGAAGTTAGAAGAAAAACTTTATCCAGATTTAAGATGGGCAACTCAAGTATACCAGAGCATGAAAAGACATAGTTAAATAACTCTGCCACTTAATAGCTGTGTAATCTTGGACAAGTCACCCTCAAATAGCCTGTTTCATCATCATAAAAATGGAAATGCCATCTATCCCACAGGGTCCTCGTGAAGATTAAATGAAATGTGTGATATTATTTTGTTCACTGTTTAATGTTATTTACATATAAGGTATTGTTACTACTTTAATACTCTCCTTCCAACACAGTATACGTAAGTGTCCTTTCCCAATGAAGACAGATCTCAAAGAATATAAACAGAGGTAACGAGGGTGCATGTCAGAGATGGAACGTCTCCCTGGTCAGAGGTGGGAGGGGCCGCTGCTCGCTCTCTGGCTGCTCTAACTAGTGCAGTCAGATGGCCACAGCGATGACCTGGTGCTTGTGTTTGGTCTGCACCAAAAGCTTTGATGCGAGCCGAGTAGCAGGGACTTGCTAACAAGGATGAGTACAGCCTGAGAACCAGCAAAGCTCCTAGTTCTAGCTCACAAGCCTCCATACTCTGGCAAGATTTCTGTAGCCCAGAAGCCACATACAACATTGATTTGTGGCTTAGTGTATTTCCAGAAGTGGCACTACTACAATCTCTGCCCACCAGTCTCGGGAATGGCTCTGGTGTCTTTCCCTCTTCTTTTTCCCTGTAGGCCCATCTGTTTCTGGTATACATTTTGACCCAGAATCTCTCGTCTTATCAGGCAGGGTCTCATCAGGCCAAACTAGGGGGTCCGATGCAAAGCTGAAGAATTGTGGCCACTGCTGGCAAAGGCTAGACTGTTGCTTTGTGAGCCTAGAACAGAAGCTGTCTGCAGTTCCGCTTTTCTTTGGAAGAGCTGGAATCTTTCTGATTTTACTTTCTGAATTGGCTCTGAAGCCAGTAACAATTTTAGCCCATAGGACCTTGGAGAGGATTCTCCGTCACTCTACAGTGTTGCAGTTTGGATTGCGAGGGCATTTCCTTACGCTGTCTCCAACCGGCACTGTCCTGAAGTGGAGACTCCATGACTCAGTGTGGCCCTGCTTCAGCCAGTGTTTCATCGTTAGAAACTTCCTGCCTCCCAGCATGTGCCGGAGCCCAGATACCCAGGACTGCCACCTGTGCCACACAATACCACTCTGGTGCTCATGCCGCAGGGAACACCAAGGTCGCAGGAGAGGCTGCAGATTCTGCTATAAACTAATTTTATTGATTCACCCCTCGGTCCCAGGCCAAGTGTGTATCTTCAAGCTCTCACTTCCCCCAGCAATGCCCCAAACAACTGAACACCTGTTGCAGGGGCTCCCAGACTAGCTTACCTCTCACAGGACCTAGCACCCGGTGGCTGACCTTTTGGGTGCTAGAGCCCAGGGCTGGCAGCCCTGCAGGCCGACTGCCATGAAAAGGAAAGCTGGGGGAGTTCTTCATCTGTGGAGAATTTTGTTGGCTGCTGCTGCTACCGCCAGCACTTGTGCCAGTGCTAAAACTTCGCGTGCGGCTCAAAGTATTTTCAGAGCAGGAAACAGGCAATCCACTGCAAAGAAGCAGATGCCAGTTAACCCTGGGCCAGGGAGATTGTGTCTCGAGTTTTTCCCCAGGTCTGATGCTCAGTAAAGCTTCACCCCTGGGGTGAAAAGGCAGAGGGGCCTCATTCCGAGGAAGGAGGAATTCTTGCTGATGGATAAGGTATCTAAGCTGGGGCATACCAGCTGATCTCAGGAATGCCTAGGAGCCCTTGTCCACACATACATGCTCCTGCAGAAAATATACTAAGAGCCATAAAAGCCGTCCCTGGGCAGCTTTAACTCCCAGTGGATTCCCCCCTTATTGTTGTGGTGCTAGCCTTTGGACCCTCAATCAGTCATTCACAACCATAGGAAGCTGAGCCTTGCCCCCACCCCACTCCAATTTTATTTGGTTTTGTGCAGGGCTCTGGAGCAAGGAGTCCCCTAACCTGATTTTCAGATATCTGTGAAGTGTGCAGCTCCAGGTAAAAGGGAACAGGATCCCATTCTCAAAAAATGAGCTAATCTTACTAATTTTAATTTACCCTAAAAATATTCACCATGTGGTCCTTTTGGAAGCAGGGAAGGAACATAAATCCCTGGGAACCCCTCACTCTGCATCCCTGTTCCACTTTCAAACCCTCTGTCCCTTCCACCCTGCTGGTCTTACTTGTTACATTTGGGTGGAGTTCGAGAGCCTTTCTTCTTATTGACACCAACATTCACAGTGCTGTTCAGGCCTCGGCTGCTACGCACATGTTTGAGCATCCAGGCCCGGAGGTTTGTGAGGCTGCTGTGCTCTGACAGCACGATTCGCGGCCACGGGTTGCATTCTGCCATGTCCAGAGCTGCAATGGCCATAGCTCGGCCCACCTGTGGGGAAGTCAGTCCATTTTGGCTCAGTGTCTTGGTCTTCCAAACCAGGCTGTGGTGTTGGGGTGGGGTGCACAGCACAATGGAAGGAGGGAGAGGCCAGGCCACAAGTTTCTTCAAAGGGTACCCTAACATTTGTGCCTGGATTGTTTATCGCAAATAGATTTAGAACCGTTCCCTAAGCCATTGCTCATTTTGGGGCCCATATCCATATGAGCAGGGGCAAGTGTGCTTTCTGGCTGGTGCCAGGAGGAAGTCTAGCAGGAGAAGGCGTTTGATTCACTTCTGTAACCCACAGCTCTTTCTACTCCTCTGTGTGCCCCCTAGGACACCGGGGATCAAGACCCCTGTAGAGGGGTGCTTTTAGCCCAGGAGTGAACTAACCTAATAGAAGCAGGAAGACAACAAGCTACGGGGCCAAGAATCTGACTCAGATGTGCGAGGGGATTTTCTGAGTCGGGGAGGGAGTGTGTGTGTATTAGAAACAGTGCCCATCCATCTGTTCAGTACTATTACAGTCAGAGACCTGCGCCTATCGACGGAGAAGAACCACAGTGGTGAGATGGCGAGCATGGTGAGTCTCTCTTCAGAGGACCCTCAAGTCGGGCAGCAGGAGCGAAGGCCCTTCCAGACTTTGAGGTTCCCCTGCTCCCCGCTTACCCCATGTACCCATACCTGCTCGAACAGCTCCACAGTGTATCTGGAGGGGAAAGCCGGTGGGGGCGGGGGGCTGGCACGCCCGTTGTCATGGCAGGCGGCAGGGATGCTGTTTACTGAGCGTCCAGTGTTGTAGTTGCATTCAAGTGTGTAGCTAAGACACAGAGACCTTTATCAGTGTGCTGTCTGGACGGAGTTAGGATAGAACCATGGGAGCCAGCCTAGGTGGTCTAAGAAGGTAGTCACTTGGAAAAAAGTGGACATAAATAGAAAGTCCCAATCCTCAGCCACCAGCAACTGACCTTGGAACTGTATCACATACCCAAAAAGTCCCAAAAAGGTAGAGTCCCAGACTAAAGACAATAACAACACAATAATAACACTGCCTTCTGAAAAGACTTGGGCTGTCCCCTGCCCCTAAACCCTCCAGACTGGGTATTGCTTTCTTTATGGAAACTATTTCATCAACCATATTCCAGTTTCCACCGAACCTGTGGATTATCCCTGAGGCTTTGTAGATTGCAACCCGACCGCTTCCCTCCTTCGACTGGCCATCTCGGCGGTCTCGGGCATACATGTTCTTCTCTGAGAAATTGCAGCCCTGGAAGTCGAAGTGGGCTGAGTTCAAGGAGATGAGTTTTGGGTATAGCATATTTTCCACCTGTTTTGGGGAAGGAAAAAGGCATCTCAGAAGGGAGAGCCAGACAAAGAAAGAAGGGCAACAAGAGATGGCAAGCATGGAGCCATGTGACTTAATACATGGCAGATACCTTCACAACCATCAGCAGCAGTCAGCGTTTCTTGAATTCTCACAGAATATTTGACATTATTTCCAGGTGCTGGAAAGGTACAATTCTACCTCTTTAAGCTTTTAGCTTCTTCTCCCCAGTAACGCAAAATTGTCCTCCCCTGGTTTCCCAAACTCTCGAAAAAACAAGACTACAATGCCAACAGCTTGACCCTCTTTGAGAGGTCATGATGTAATGACAGACATCTGACTCCAGTACCATCCCTTCGTGCCCCTTTGAAGCTTGTTCAGCAGTAGTTCACCTTTTCCAGCCATAGGCCTTCCTGCCAGATCACCTTCCCTCTGTTCATGGCCTAAACTTTATCTCCTAACCTGCAACACTTCCCACACGCACATGATATTCTGTGGACTCCTACCTGGGTGCTCTCATCACTAAAGCTGTTTCCATACATGAAGCAGCCCCTTTTGGAAGCGTGTCCGTGCAGGTCCACATAGTAAGCAACACCGCTCTCTTTGGGGGGGATGGTGTCAGGGGCTGGCAGCTCCACCTCAGCGGACTGTTGTGGCATAACCCACATACGGGGGGGCTTCTGTTCTGCTGGCTCAGCCTGTGTCCAGGTGTCAGGGTTATCCCCAGTAGGTGAGTGCCCAAGATGAGCTTCATTTTGGAGATTGTTGGCTTTCTCAAGGTCAGAAAGGGGAGCATCAGGAGGGAGATGAGGACTGTGCTGGTGCTCAGAGGGACTCTGGGAGTTCAGACGGGAGTGCACGTGGTGGTAGAGAAGCACAGCTTTCGCCCCATAGATGGCCGGGTGCAGGACCGCATCGGGCTTCAGGTACTGACGGTTCAGATTCACTCCACGGGAGTCTGTGCTGTAGGGAAACAAAGACTGGAGCGGGGTCTAGAGGGCTGGGCCAGCGAAAAAGACATGAGAATACATGCAAAGGAGACTATGGGAGACTGGCCTTACAAAATGAGAGGCTGAAGTTGCTTTAGGAAAGAACTCAGGCCCTCTCCTTAATCTGCTATTGCTCCTACCATAGAAACCTAAGGATAGTTCCCTCTACCCAGATGCACCCGCAGTTATTCTAGCTCCGCTCTTCCAGAGAGTGCCACTAGATGGGATCCCATTCTTTCTGGGGTCACTGGACAATGAGGAGACCTTGCCCTTGTTAGGGTACAAGAGGATTGGGAATACAGAAGTTAGATGAAAGGCTGATAGTATTTCACGGAGATGCAGGGCGTGAGAGGGACTGGGAACAATCCAGACAGGCTGGGGAGGCTTCTTACCGGTAGTGGCCCCGGACCACACCATCGGGGTTCAACATGGGAATCAGCTTAAAGACAAAGAGGCGACGTAGGGTTTGGGCCCGGGGATCATCAGGTCGAAGGATGAAGTCCAAAAAGCCATTGAAGACAAAGCTGGATGGAGTCTCTCCAGGGTGTACCCTACTGCTTAGGAAGAATATCTGAGGTGGAAAGGAGCGCAGTCATTAGGTCACTCGAAGTTCCGAGGAACAGGGTATAGGGCACCGGGGGTGGAGGGGGTGGATAAGGCAGGAGCAGCCACTGGATCTGCAGCTGGCTGAGTCTGTAAGTGGAGTGGGAACTGCCACACTTGCCTCAGAATACAGGCTGAGGCTGTGTCCAAGACACCTAGAGAGAACGTGGCCTTAAGCGATCAACAGTGCCTTAGACTGGGGAAAGGCCGAGGTCCTACCTTTACACTATTCCCACTCACCCTCTTGCCTGTGAAACAGAATGGTCGAGGGGTGCTGATGTCAGGAAATAGCTGCTCTAGACGGGGCTCTCGATCTTCTCGAAGCCCGTGGCAGGAACTGATAGTTAGGAGATCTACACGAAGTCCATCCAGAGAATAGCAAAGGATCTCCCGGTGGTAATAGATGGTATCCAGGGGGCTGTAGGGATAAAAATCATGAAGCCAGGAGAAGTCCCTAAAGTCCTAGCAGGAGGTGGGCCTTGTCACGAGCCCAGGACTTGTAGGATCTGGTCCTTTAGCCTAACCTCTGGGGCCTTACAGTCCCTCACGGTGTTGGGGGTTTAGGACTTAGGTGGGTCTGCATTGCCAGAATGCAGAGTACAGGATAGGATGAACTCTTTTCTCCGGTTTAGGGCTCCCCACAACAGATTACTTGGCAGAGACACAGAGAGTTGTCCTCTGATGGGACAGTAAAAAGGTGTGCTGAGCAATGGCAGTGCTGGCTAACTTCTGGGTAACTGATGGGAGCTGGACTACTAAGGGCTTGAATGAGCAGGTGGGTGAGTAGAGTGCAGGTGGTGGTATGCTGAGATCACGGTCACATGGAAACATATTTGTCAAAGGTACCCAAAGTCCCACATTCTCTACAGAGAAAACAACTGATGAGGTTTTGATGAAGGGCTCTTAGGGTAAGTTCCAGAAGTAGCAGAGGTGCCGTCTGGTCCAGGACTGTGTGGGAGAAGAATGGGGCTGGCACCTGCTATGAGTAGGGTGGTTCTCCAGAAAGCGCTGGTCTAGTTGGTTGAGCAAATCCTGGCAGTCACTGTAGGAGAAGGGGTAGCAGAAGGCGAAGAAGGTGGTGGCCCCACGGCCCTCCACGAAACGGTGAACAAAGGATAACACAAACTGCGACTCTGTCATCTGAGGAGCAGAGGAGGAAGGGGGGGGGGGCAACATGCCATCGGGTCAGAAATAAGATCCTATTGGCGTCACCAGGAACTGACCTCACACCCTTGTCACACTGACCAACTTCCCTCCCTATGAGACTTTCCAACTGTCAACAAGCTCCCTTGAGGCGTCCTGAGGCAGGGGCTTATCTTGGATTCCAGCTAGCGCTGCAGGGAAAGCTGGTACCAAAACCTGGTGTCCTGCCGGCCTAGTGCTCTGTATCAAGGGTAACTCCTCTTTCCTTGCCCTCCTCTATTTTTAGCACCCAAGCCTTTCTTTCCTCCTCAGAGAGAACTTACCTCAAAGGTGGGACGGTCTCGGATGCGTTCCCAGCGTGGGCGGGTGGGCAGTGTACGCACAAAGGGGGCCATGCCCTGGGAATACAGCTTACTTTGCTTGTTCATGTTCATAATATTGATCTTGATGAGTTTTCCTGGAGATCCTCCCCGGACACTGAAGTAGAACCATGACCTGAGGGCCAGAGTAGGAGAGAAAGGTGAGTATATACAGGAGGGTTGGAGAGGGGATATGTGGGAGAGTAGTAAGTAGGTGGGGGGTAGGAACGGGGGGGGGGGGGAGAGGGTAGCATACTGTACAACCTGTAAGTCAAAGGGCTAAGTGAGCTAGATTTGGGAACACCCCCTTTCTTTTCCTTCCACCCTCTATTACTTTCCTCTTACCTGTTGCCATTCTCAAATTCTGTCTCAGCACAGTCTGGTCGGGTCCACACATTGAACTCATAGTCAGGGGAAGAGGCAATGCTGCCGGTGGGGGCTGACGCCCCACCTGCTACTCCTTCCCCATCACTAGACACAGATTCCACTTTCTCCACGTGGGCTAGGTTCCCTGAATCAAAGCGAGAACTGAACAGCAATCCCCCACAGCGCAGCTCCATGGTGGGGCTGGGAAAGCATCCTCCTGCCCCACTCTGGCCCTGAGAGCTGGGGAAACATGGGGGGTGGGGTAGGGAGGAGAGGGAAGAAAAATGAAACAAGTTTTCTGGGTATCTCTGGATAAATGAGAGCTACTCTTAAGGAGTGCCTTATGAAGCCAGAGGTTCTCTCCCCCTCAAAAACATAGAAGTGGCCTTCCAGCAAAGGCCAAGAGAAAGCAGTGTTCTGTCTCCACACTAAGGGTTACAACTGACCTAAAAGGACCCCATTTTATGACAGCTTGGCTATTCCAAAGTGAAATACTAGACTTGAAGCTTCTTTGCAGCCCAAAGATTAGAGAATATAATTAGAGAGGTCAGATTGCCCAAACCTAGCCAAGAAACACCCACCACAACGCATGGCAGTTCTTAAAAAATGGGCGGTTCTGTATCTGCTTCCTACATTGGCTCCCCACAATCCAGCAGAGCAGAGCACAGAGAACCAAATTTCTAGGTTTAAATGGGCAGCTTCCTGTCTCCACTCCTCTCTCCTCATAAGAACTGACCAGGCATTCTTCTGATGCTCCCCTGAGCCCTGGAAGGGTTGGTTCTTCCTTTTTGGTTACTACCCTACCCGATCCCTGTTATGGAAGAATACTAGACAAGTGTGGCCTTTGCCAAGTCAAAGGAAACTGGGCAGAAGCCATCTGCTTACCTAGAGGCTAGCTCAATTCCAGTTAGGGCACAGGTCTATTTCCCCCCTTCTCCCACCCTGTATGCACTGGAGTCCCTGAATAAGCTACCCCGGCAGTTGGGGGTGAGTAATGGGTGTTCTGAGCACCTCTAAAAAAGTGGCTGGTAGAGAACTACTTGGGGGCAGAGGGGTGGCTTCTCAACCTTCGATTCTGAAGGACCCTCACACTGACCATCTTGCGCGGAGCAGGTTGGGGCTTGGAGGCATTGGATGGGTGCAGACAGACTCGCACTCCAGGAAGGGCGGGAAGGCAGGTAATAGGGGGCAGAGAGGAGGCCACCGGAGGGCGGGTAGGGCTGAGGGAAACCCGGGCTGAGGGGCGGGGTGGGCCAG